CTGACTCAGCACCGGTCATAGGGTTTCCAGTCCAAAAGGGCATGGCCATTCTTTGGAATCTCACCGTTGTTACCTTTACAGGCCTGGACTTGTTTTATTGCCACAAGTCTGGTGTGAGTACGTCTTCATAAAAATGTATCTCTTGTGTTGAAGACATTGGAGTGGGCCTTTGCACATACACACAGGTAAAGCTGAAAATATGGGAGAGGGCTCCTACCAACCACGTGGAAAATCTTACTGTAACATGTTCCACAGACACGTCTAAATATGCAGGGACCAGGACATCTGACTCCTGTAATGTGCACATGAGCTCTTTCAGAATAGCAGGGCAGGAGATGGTAGCACACACCTTCAATCCCAGCACCCAGGAGGCAGAGGCAGGTGGATCTCATAGTTTGAGGCCAGTCTGGTCTACAGAATGAGTTCCAGGGCAGCCAGGGGTGTTACACAGAGAAACCCTGTCTCGAAGAAACAAACAAACAAAAACAAATGACACCTGACCTCTGCCACAGATAGACAGGCCTTGAGCAGCTCATTTCCCGGGCAGAGGCTTCCCAAGGACAGATGTCTGTCCTGCCCCAGTACTGTGTACCTCCTGTAGCAGAAGTTCAAGGGCTTGCTGAATGGATGCAAGTCTGGCAGCTGGATTCGGTGAGTGGAGGAAGACTCAGGACTTACACACCCTCTGCATTTGACTTTCTGGAACATATGATTAACACGCTAAGAAGAGTCACTAGTCACATACAGTGCAATATGTGAATGTGTAAGTTTCAACCCTTCACGTATGAGGGTCACCAGCTAGCATGCATCCCAAATATCGTATCATTTACTCTGAAGTGAAGTCATCCAACTTGGAAACCAGATGAGTTATACCCAAGGAACTTGTTCTGCAATTTAGAAGCTATGGATCCAAACTTGGACCCACATCTACTAACAAGATTAGATAATCTGCTACAGTCTGTGGTTTACTCACCAGAAGCAAATTCTACCCTAAATTCTGACAGTCTAAAGATTGTTTTAGAAAGGCTAGGGACTTATAGGCATAGATTTTTATTTGTTCCAATTTATTCATGTCAATAACTGGAGAAAACATGAGTTCCCACTGACGTTCTTTATGACCTAGTGGTAGCCGTATGCCTTTCCAAACTAACCTGACACAAGCCTCTCGGTGCTAATGTCACACTTCTCTTTTCTCTCTGCTGCCTCCTTCAGGAATTCCCATGGATCTCATCTGTGCCATACAGCAGGTTATAGCCCAAATCCTTTGAGCCTCAGAGGCGGGCACACACCCTCAGCAGTATCAGATTCCTCTCCAGTCACATCTGTGTCTGGCCTAGGAGGACAGAAAAGCTGGCTCTATGCCTTCCTAGGCTCTCCTACAGATGTAACCACTGAATTCTTAATGGTTTCTGATTCTGTACCCACAGAATTTAGCCACCATTTCTTATCTTTCTTTGATGGTTTGTTTTGATAGGCTCTTGCTATGTAGCCCAATCTGCCCTCAAACTTGCGACTCTCCTGTTTCACTGCTAAAATTACAGTCCTACATATTCGGTTTCAGAAAGGCCTCCCCTCCTGAGTCCCAAGGCTCCAGGCACTGATCCTTCAGATTTACTGGACCCCTCTCCCCCACCAACCTTCCTTTAACACAGTGATCCACTCTCCTCCCCAGAGCCCTGGTCTTAACAAACCAGCAATGAACACATCACAGGTCAGGCAGGTGTATCTTCTAAGCAGGGTTAGGCAGGGACTTTACTTAAGCTTTTAGACATAAAATGTGGAGGCTAGCAAAGTCAGATGAATGTTCAGGGCAGTCAAGTCTCTATCTTCCAGGTCCTTCTTGTCAGCCCCAAAGGAAACTCTTTTCCCCAAACTGGTGGTCAGACAAAGCCAGCATTCCTCAGGAACTGGTGAAGCCTGTTCCCTCTGCCAAAGAAGCCATTTCTCATATCACTGGCAGAAAGGACAAATGGCCATCTGTGGTGACTATTAGGGTACCCAAGTGCACAGTGGTCTCCAGCCCCCCTCAGTGTCACAAGTACCTGTTAGACATTTCAGAGTCTATCTTGGCACCCTGGCTCTCCTCACCTCCCCCTTCCCTACACTTCTGTAGATCATGGGCCTCTCTCTCCACAGCTATTCATTCTGCTATTCCAGCTCTGCTCTCTGTCTGTCTGTCTTCCTCTCTTTTACCCTCTTTGTTCCCCCTTTTGCCCTCTCTTAGCCTCCATCTCTCACTCCTCTCTCCCCCTCTTCTCTCACTGCCAGTCCCAGCCTGCGTCTACACTCAATCCACTACTTTCCCTCTCTGCTCTGAACTCTTCCCGACGTCTCTGGAAGTTCTCTCCTTCGTACCTACAGTAAAACATTTCATTTGACCCATACCCGAGTCTACACACTTCTCAGCCTCCACATGTCTTGATGCCTCCCCTGGGCCTGGCCGCTAACCAGTCAATAAAGGCTTCCAGTCACTGTCACCGCTGTGAGCAGCATCTTCACTAAGGGAACACGAGGAAATCAAGCTCGGCAAGCAAGGGCAGGTGAAGAAAATAAGCAATCTGGTATATCAAGTATGGAGGGAGTTTAAAACAAAACAAATAACCCACCCTCACAAAACCTGTTCTCACGTCTGTTCAAAGTGGTGGAGCAGCAGAAGCGTTGATCTGCAAGCAGCAAGTGGGTGTTCCTCCTAGCCCCCAAGGGAGAGGTTGGTCTTTAGGTAACCAAGGCTCACAGGTGGGCTGCAACTCTTAAAATACAGCCTAATTAAACCATCCTCAAAGTTTCAAGATCCTGATCCCAAGCCTTTCCTGACGGGTCCACAGAGATATAGTCACATCCTTCTTACCACCCTGAGTGGCCACAGGAAACTTGCAGATGGAACTTACACCCAAGTCCTGGCTTGGTACTATACAAACCAGAGCCTGGAAACCGCTAGGGTGTGTGGGGAAGAGAAGCATCCAGACCAAAGTGTGGATTTCTCATGGTAACATCCATGCACATTTTAGAGAAAAGGAAGTGATGGAAACGGGATGAGTTGGGAGGAGCAGGGTAAGGAGCAAACGGCAGGTGACCAGTGAGTGGTACCTGTTTGCTTTCAAAGCAGGAAAACACAACAGCCCCCACACTGTTGCCAGCTGTCAGTAACACCGTAAGAAATCAGTGCTATTTGTCTTGCCAACAGAGGCCTGTAGAAAAATGCTCCCTATAAGTGTGCACAACTACTGAGTTACCAGACTCCAACTACATTAAACTTCAAACTTTATATTTCAATTTTTAAAAAGCAAAGAATATTCATTATTTCTAAAATCATTGAATTCTGAAACTCAGATCTAAATCTATTTCTTATAAACGAAGAGAAAAATCAGAACTATGTACTGAGTAGTAAAATTATAATTTCGGTGTTGTGCTTATCTGTAATCTTAAGCTGTTCTTCATGGAACATGCATAACTATTTTACTAAGGAACAGCCACTGCATGCTAAGATGGAACTTTAAAAAGCACACAGTGAGGGCTAAAGAGACAGCTCAGGGGCTAAGAGCACTTTCTGTTCTTCCAGAGGACCCAGGTTCAGTTCCCACACCCACATGGCAGCTCACAATCATGTACAGCCCCAGATATGACATCATCTTTTGGCCTCTGAGAGCATCTGCATGCTATATGGTATGTGTATATACATGCAGACACACACTCATACTTGTAAGAAAAATATAACTAAATCTCTTTTAAAAAACACATTGCAGGTGTCCCCACAATGTCTCCTCTGGTGAGAACTGGGAATTCCCAAGAGTTCCTGCTGAATTATTGGTGTCTAAACTCTACTCGTCACCTGCCCTTTTGATAGTGACAACAATGGCACCAGGTGCCAGGCAGAAGAGAAGGAATGCCACACAGCCACACCCACTCTAGGGAAAGTTGAGTCCTCACTGGAGTGTGGTAAGCTGGGTGGAACACCATCACTTCCCCGTGAAAATGAAGCAGAGAGCCCAGCTCTGTCAGAAGACAGCCCTCGCCTGTATCCGTCACAAATTACCGACACATTTGGTATATTTTAAGAATTTCGTATCAGCAAAGCCCAGAACTTGTTTAAAATAAAACCCCATTAGTATCACAAAGCTATTAATCTAGCCAGGGCTTTCTGCAGAGAGGCACATTGGTCTGCCACAGCGACCAAAGTGGGGAGAAGCTGGGGGACCTTTCACCTCTCCAACTAGAAGCAGCGAACGTCTGTGTTTCCCAGGCTCTTTCTGTGCTGAAAGTAACGAATGCTGAGAGCTAATCCTGACCAGGGCGGAGGAGCGAGCAGCTGCAGTGAGGGTGCAAAGAGGAGAGCCCTGGGGACTGCAATCAATCACACGTGTTTCTGTGAACTTCGGGAAGAGACCAAGGAAAGGAAGGATGTTCATGGAAGGGTCTAGAGGCTTCCTACACCATCCCACCCATATTCCTAATCACACATGCTGGCTGTCATGTGCATGGCTTCTTCACGACAATGCGGCACTCAGCGTGAGCACAGATGCCTCCTGAGGGCCGGTTCCTCGTGCCTGTGCTCAACAGCTGCCCCTCGGCTGTTAAGTGCCAATTCAGCCTTCCCCTGCGTGAAACCACGGAGTCCCTTTCAACGGGGTGAGAATGAGTTCTACAGATCAGATGTGCCCCAGATAAAACTCTCGGGACCATCTGGTGACTCCACCCTACTGAACCAGGTTCGGCGTTCTCTTTTTCTCCTGGTAGACTTTTCTATTCCGACACGGAGCCTGCACGGGGAAGCTCGGTGTGATTTCTGGAACTATCTTGCGTGTAATGCTGGAGAGACAACTAACCTACAGTACTTTATCTGTTCCCGTGCCCTGCCCTGTAATTTACTTGGCTTCTGCATGGGTTAGCTACCAACAACTTCTCTTTAGAAACTGTCCTCAAAGACACATCAATGAGGTTAAACTCTTCAGAGAATATGAAGCGAAAGCCCACAAGGCAGGCTGGGCCCACCCCCCACTTACCGCTACTTCCACAGATTGCATGGAGAGGTCACAGGGTGGCTTCAGAGCCTTAGGTCTCGTGGCGTACCAGAAAGTGGTGAGCGCGGCAAAAGCTCCAAAGCCCATGAGTGTGTTGGTTGGAAGCGTACGCACATACTGCCGGATGTCAATCAGCTCTGGCATCCGAAAATACCGGAACAATTCATGGATTTCCATGGTTCTGTGCTGGTGATTCCTTAGGCAGAATTCTGTTAGGAGAGAAAGATGCCAGGTTCACTCCAGGGGGCAGAACACGTCTCCAGAATGCCCACAGGCCAATCATTAGTGACATGGCTTGCCGCTCAATCGAGGCATTACATCCACAGTCTAATGGTCCCACGGTCAAATTTCATTTTCCTGGTAACACTTTAGCCATTTACTTCTGTTCCATTTCTCCATTATATTGTATGTAAGAAAAATTTTCAATAACGCCATTAAAAATGTTCAAAGAAGTCCGGGCGGTGGTGGCACACACCTTTAATTCCAGCACTTGCGAGGCAGAGGCAGGCAGATAGCTGTGAGTTCAAGGCCAGCCTGGTCTACAAACAAGAGCTAGTTTCAGGACAGGCTCCAAAGCTACATAGAAACCTTGTCTCGAAAAACCAAAAATAAAAAAATAAAACCTCAAAGAATTCTTGCCATAAAATGCTCAAATGACTCAAAAAAGAGAAGGAAACGACATCTTTTGTCCCTTCCACCTAATCAATCATACCCTCATGGTCAAGGCTAACAGGGATAATATGAGAAAGAGGTGTGAAGAAGCCCAAACCACCTAAGGGTCAGGAGGTGCTGCTTCTGCCAAGAGATTCCAAAACAAGTTTCCCAACTAGTAAAACAGACCAGCCTAAATTTCAACATATCTCTCAGCTTCCCTGTAGAAGTAGTCATAAATGTCAGGAGATCCATAATTGGCTGTTCCAGTTAGATCACTTTCGTTTACAGTCCCCAAGATATTATACCTAAGATGAATAAATTAATCAGTGCACATAAACTAAAGCAAACACCAGAAGTCTGGAGAGGAGTTATGAAATTGTATTTGAGAGAAAGGAAAAAGGTCCTGAAGACTACACTCTGGAACCAAGGCCTGCCTTGGCGCGCTCCTGGCTGTGTGAATAGCTTCTTCTGCCTTGAACCCTGGTGTGCGTCTCTGTGAGTGGAGATGAAAACAGCGCCCCTTCCAGTGAGCTTTCAGTCCCACTACAGGATTCCCAGCAGCCAACGATGGTGCCGCACGCAAAAAACTGCTCAAGAAATGTCAGATGCTATCATTTCCCCTACCAAAGCACTCTGAGCTCAGAATACACTGTTACTGCGGTAATAAAAATGCTTACCTACATTTCACAGAGCCAGAAGAAGAAGCCAAGATACACAGAAGAAAATTAGATGAACATCAATATATACCAAAGCCCCAAATTGCAGATTATAAGCAATTTATATAGAGACGGGTCTAAAATAATTAAGTGTGCACTAGAGAACAAGAACAGCTCTAATTTAAAAGCTTATGAATGAATGATTGCCCCCAAGGCTGGCACACGGCAAAGGGAGAAATGGGAAATGAGCCGGGAGACTGCACTAACCTTCTACAGCAGCGCAACAAGTGCTCACTCCGCCACTAACGCAAACAGCATGCCTTCCTTTGAAAGCTAGGGCACAAGACTGAAAACATTTTCTTGAAATCTAGAGATCACCTTTTGAAACCAAAACTATACTATTATAACTATTTCCCCCACAGAGCAACAGAGTATCAAAGCTGCTTTTCTGAACCAAGGATATGACAAGACCCAACATAATAATACGTTTGCTCAGCTTGTTCAGACTTGTGGCTATCACAGCTCGGGGCATGCACACACACACACACACACACACACACACACACACACAAACGTGCACACACACCTACACACAGATCTCAAGGTTAACATGACAGCTGAGAAAGAAGAGATAGGCAAGAGTCTTCAGGTTTTCATTCTGGAAGGAAAGCAGCCGTGCCTACTCACCATCTGGGCCATGGACAGCTGACTGCTAGGTGACACACCACAGCAGAATCAGAAAAGGGCAGTGAGGATGGGGGTGGGGTGAGGGCCAGGGCAGCTCGGCGGCTGCTTACCAGGCCTGCCAAGGTCTTTCAGGGCATTAGTCACACGCCAAGTCCTACCCTGCTGCCCACTGGGCTAAAGGTAACTAGCAGACACAATCCATACTTGACTTCTCAGGGCAACAGAGGGTGGAGGATGGGCCAATGAGGAGCTAGCAGTAAGTCACCCCACTGCTCCACCCATGGGCAGGGACCAGCATCAGTGAGCGTTGCTGCCAGGGGCAGTTCTTCAAACAGACACTGTTTTCATTTTGCTCAGCTTCCCAAAAAAAAAAAAAAAAAAAAAAAAAAAAAAAAAAAAAAAAAAAAAAGACAATGGATAAGTTTTTTTTTTTTTTTCCAACCACTGAAATGAAGTATAAGATACAGGGTTGTATGCCTAACCACCATGAGACAGCTCAGAGAGAAAGGTACCAAAATACACTCGGAGAGTATTTGTTCTCAATGTATGCATAGGAGCTGAGCTCGTCCTGTCCTGCATATCTGAGCGCCCAGGCTGTGCCGCTGTGCTAGGACCTGGGAAGACAGGGCAAAGGACCAAGTCAGCCTTTCAATGGGTTAACCATCTAATGAGAAACAGAATGGAATGAGCAAAGTCCACTGGGCATCGAGAAGGGCCCTTCTCAGAAATAGTGCCTATGCTGAGACTTCAGGATGAGCAGATAAAATCAGGCCCAGGTCTTATTGGCAGCAGTCACTGAGACTGCACAAACAGTATTATAGCTTGGCATACACACCATCTTTCTGATCTAACATGCAAATCTGCCTCACTTCCAATCATTCTATTCCACTTGTCTTCATTGCCCTTCACCATTCGGAGTCTGAAGAAGCATTATCCATCCCTTGCCCTCTTCTCTCCTCAATGTCTGGGGAGTAATTTTCATAACATCTAGATTGTGTGGATTTATAGGAGTGGATATAGCAGAATTACATCCTTGAGTGAGACTACCAATTCTTCTCTAAACAAACAGAGGCACACACAGGGGACTAACTTATCTATTTTAAGCAGTGGCAGCCAAGATATAGAGTGCACCGTGCAAAGAAACTTTAATAAGGCTGGGAAGAAAAACGTTTTAAAAATTTTCTGAGACTCATATATTAATAGCATGTATGCAAGAACATGGTATTAGGTGCTGATCTGTAATGCTAAGCATTTAAATCCACCCAAATTCACTGGTAGCATTATAAACCTTTCTTCCTTTAGTTCAATGCTGTTAAGGAAAAGGTAGTCAGATATTTTAAACGTGGAGGTTGGCTTACAGTCAAACAAAATGAGACATTGTAAATGGCCGTTCTATGATGATAGATACCATATTTAAGATTCAGTCCTCGATAGGTTTTGAACACTTCCTAATAAGTGGTTAAAACTAAAAGACACATTGTGTTCTTAAGTCAATGGCATTCTGTTGGGAATTCTCTAGGATTTGTTTTCAAAAGCAAATTTCCATATCAGCACCTAGCAGAACTTTTAGCTCAGGCACATACATCACCCGGCTATCTGCTAATAACATGATTCAGTTGGCTTAAAGTCTTAGGAAGACGCATGTCTCAGTGTAGAACACATAGACTTGCTGATGGCCAGCTGCTCCTTTGGCTGCAGACGCTCCTGTGTACCCCTCCGTCTCTGCTTACAGAAAGTGTGTGCGCTGCTGCTGGCTCAGTAGTTAAGAGCACTCACTGCTCTTCTAGAGGACCTAAGTTCAGTTCTCCAGCTCCCACACTGGGCAGCTCACTACCACCTATATCTCCAGCCCCAGGGGACTTCACCTTGTTCTGGACCCCACATACATGTAGCATACACAAATACAGTAGATGGCAAACCGAGATATTTTAAAAAAGGGTTTGTTCATCTGGCTTGTCTGAAATGCTGCCAGCACTAGAGTCAAGCAGCAGTGACAGGACAGTACTAGTCAAGGAGAGGCTTACAAACTCAGCAAATGGCAAGAGTGGAGGATGCCTAGGTACCTGTGGGTAGAGACAGGCAACACAGGGGAACAATGAAAACTGGGTAGCACAACTGTCAAAACCCAGAGATGCTGGCACCCTCTGCCCAAGCTTTGAACAGAATCACCATTTAGCTGTACTTAGAGCTGCAGGGAGTTTGTCATATTCTGCATCTCATTAGAACATCACAATAGTAAAATGACCCTGAGGAAAACCAGAGCCAGAAATAGAAAAAGGCTTCTCTGGGGTGTCTGTCAGAACGAGACACTAACCTGACTCTAAACCCAAGTCATATGAATGGCTCTTCCTCTTGGCTGCCCCGACCTGCTCTCTGGGAACACATACATGTTTACCTGCACACAGACTTCCAGTCCCCTTCAGCTGCTCTAAGTTAGGAACTATGAGAACAGGGCAGAAGGGTCCTTCTAGCTTGGTGTTAGGAGAACCCCAAATCTGAAGCCCATGTGAACTCTCCGTGTCTTACATAAATGCTACCTACCACTGATCCTGTCTCCCTGGCCTCTGCATGTGGGTTCCGTGCCCACTGTATACAAAGGTGACTCTTGTGTTTGCATTATAAAAAAAAAAATAGTTCAGAGCCAGAGGTGACCCACAAGGGCATCATTCCCCTTAGGGACACTGAGGGTGAATACACACACACACACACAAACACACACAAGTGCACACGTGCACAAGCGCCTGCAATTCTGTAAAGTAAAATTCTTTTACTTACAGTAGCATTTTATTCTCTCCAAGTGATCTAGAGCCTTGTGTTTCTCTCCTTCCGCCGTTCCTCGAGCTTCCGCCAATATGAGTAACAGCAGTTTGATGGAATGCTCTACTAGGAATGCAGACCTCAAACAAACCCACACAAATTGCACACTTGCCTGACAGCAGCAGCGAATTGAGAAGTCCTGACATCTTTCCTTAATGCAGCAAGCCAAGCTGGCACGATGCTGCCATTCCCTGCCCCACCTCCTTCCCCTAACACAAGAAGCTATTTACAGGGCTGAAAGTGCCCCCTTTGTCCTGTACTAGCTGGGCAGAGCCCAGGCCCCAGGAGGAACAAGAAAGTGGCAGCGAGGCCATTTGCTGCTCTTTCAGTCTGCCACTCCGGAGTCACTGGAGTCGTGCTCCTTAACCCGGCCTGGCACACCACCTAAAGCTAGA